AATTCCCATGTATAATAGCAGCGTCTTTGGTAGGCAGCATCAGTATCTTAGCCTCGGCCTTCGCACAAAGTATGACCGCCATTGTTCTCCTTATCGGGGTTGGTACTGGTGAGTTAGCGATTTTATTATAAGTTATAAACCTTTCTTGATGCTGAATTTTTGCAGAAGTATGTTTCTTTGCGTCTGGAGAGAGTGAAAAGCTTATTATTAAATAGAGAATGAGCAAAGCGTGCTAGAATCACGGTGTGTAGAAAAACAAAGCTTTGAATGTAATTATCGTTAAGAAGAATAATTAACATCTACAGTTAATCTTCAAGTGTATGGTGCCAAATGAAAATTGGCTTCTAGAGCATTAAAATATAAATACAAATAACGCATGAAGAAAAAGTAGAAGGATGTTAACAGTCCTAGAAATAGTCATTTCAAGAACTTAAAAGAATGCATTTAAATCTTAGGATGCGCATGTGTGTTTCCGACTCTGTTGTCCTACGTCTACATAAGTCGATCCTTTCCCAGAAAATACGTATCCAAGTTTCTGATTATGATGACTGTCGGTGCAGGGTTAGGATTGTTGACAACACCGTACATGACTGAGTTTTTCCTGAGTCAATTCGGGTGGAGAGGGACCTTTATGATGGCCAGTGGACTATTTTTTCACCTGTTTCTTGTTGGAATTGTGGTTCAGTTTAATCTGCCACCTTTAGATGGACCAAGGAAGGCTAAAGAATTCAAGTGGACGGATCAAATTGCTATTTTTAAAAACAGAACATATTCAGTATATTTGTTTGATATGCTTCTGTTTGGAATATTTGGTAAATTAAAACTATTTTTTAGATGAATAATTTAATTATCAATATTTGAAAAGAATTATTAATAAGGATCATCACATGACAAATTCTTTTAACAACAGGATTTGTAGTTCCCTGGTTTCTTCCTGATTTTGTTGTTTCTAACAATTACACCAAACAGGACGCCGCCTTGTTGCTAACAATTAGCGGAGTCTCTAATATAGTAGGACGGATACTGGCGGGCACTTTAGATCCATTTTTCAGGTAAACTGTAGTAGATAAAATTTAATTAATCCACTTAGCCAAACTTTGACATATACTGTTCTAAAAAAGCAAAAATAAATGTACAAATTTTGCACCTGGGGGATGTATTTCATCACATAAACTCATTTATACCCGTTAGATAAATTTATAGGAGATTCACTCCATAAATGTGTACATCTCTTACCCAAACGTATATTTATTTTAAAAAATATTTTAAAAAAATGTGACATGGAAGAAAAAAATATTTCTGAACTATCAAAATCGTTCCTGAATTATGAACTGGACATTACCTCCTAAACAAGGTTTTTAATCAACGAAACAAGTAGCAACTACCTGATCATTATAGAAAAGGAGGGTTGTTTCTTTGTTGGATAATAGTACGTGTTCTATAATCTAAACAAATATACAGGAGAACATACGGATAATGAGCATTTGGTTAACCAAAAAGAGGACACCAGACCAGAGCAAAGTTCAAATTTATCTGCTAAAACAAGTTTCAATACTGCAAAGGTAATGTGAGAGAGGATTAAATTTTTTGTAGTTCTTTTTCTAAGAGGTTCTTCAAAATCCTATTTCAGGTTTAAAAATTTTAATATCCCCCCATAGAAATAAATTTGAATTTCCATATCCATACTTGATTCTAAAACTTCATACAAATATACATAACTATATCTAGTATATGATCTACCGAGTCTCTTTCTTTAATCCTCAAGAAACAATATCAACAGCAGAAAAGGAGAAACCTCAGCACTGTGCGATGACATTTTTGATCGAGAAGAGGTGTCAGTCAAATGAAGATAACGTCTGTATATGGTGTCCCTGTCTCCTATTTGATTCAACTCGCATTTCCTACGTACAAACAATCTCTAAACCGAGGCAGACTACTGACAAATAAGTTGTTGATTCTAGGGAATGACAATCTTGAATCAATGACATTGTTTGCAGATACAATTTGCTATTGGTTCGAATGTTACTGACGTTTAGGCCATTAGTTTTATACTGATTATCTACCAATTTCTCCGAGTATTTTTTCTCGCCATCACAATCACGAAAAAGGGCTGGTCGAAAGGGGAATCTTACTCCTTCATGGGATCTGATACCACCTTTAACTATGAACTTGAATCTTCCAGATAAATCTTAAACCAGCAGACATATAAAAAGAATATAAAAATATGAAATAAATATAAATAATTATGAAATCACGCCAGATGAAGATCGTTCTTAGATGACGAATCTCAAAAGATTCCACTTCAAATACCAGTACACCCATACATGAACAAATATGAAAAGTCACAAACTCCCCTGCCCCCCCCCCCCAAACGCATGTATTTTGAATGGCATTTGACTGTCAAAATATAAATGCTCTTCCACTCCAATATAAAAATCTTGTCTTACTTTCAGTCGCACAAAAATTATCTACCACTGGGGCTACATCTTCGCAATAATTGCTGTCAGCTTTGCCTTTTTTCCATTCTTTATGGGAAATTTCTCCGTTCTTTGCGGGGCGTCTTTAGTCTACGGGACCTGTTTTGGTTTAATTGTCTCGCAGAGTGTGCCAATTGTGGTACAAGCATTGCCTCTAACTCTGACCTCTATTGGAATGGCTACAGACTTCACGGCATATGGATTGTGCACAGTACTAGGAGGCTACGTGTGTGGTAAGTAAGGTTTTGTTCAAGGTTGAAATTAGAACAAATGCACTGCATTTTACATCGAACATTTTGTTATTTGAATAACTACAAATACAATTTCACTTCTTGTCATTGCAGGATTGATTCGTGACGTCACTGGGGGATATGACGCCGTATTTTACATGTCCTCAGGGACTGTCATTGTATGCAGTTTTATGTGCGTTCTTCTCCTGTTTTTGGATAAAACATGTAAACGGAAAATTCCAAATAACGTTCATATCAATACTATCTCGATTATTTCCCATCTCTAATTCAAATATATACATATGTATGTGTGTGACTGATATTAAAATGATATTGTCTGTAATTTTGCGTACTTTTGACAATGTGGTTCAAATTAAAAGTATGGTTTTTGCATGGTAAGAAATTGACTTTCTCGAGAAATTTTATATTTAGTTTCATAGATTAATGATAGGTAAACATCGAATGGCCACATATAACAAGAAAAATAGGTGAATTTCTTAAAGAATTACCATAATTTGGCTAAGAGGAAGCATACATTTGTTTACCAAGCATTTTTAAATAGGATATTTATTCTAAGAGCCCATTTCACTTTAGTAACATCTTTAAGAACGTGTAAACGTAATTGACTAACAACCCCCTCCCCCAGCTCATTTTGTTAATTTAATTCAATGATTTCAAATTGGTTGTAGACTGTGATTTTTTGTTCTACATCGGGGATACTTACTCCTTCATAGCACCTTATCCCACCTCTGGTGTTTTTAGAGGTCCCTGTTTGCTCTGCTTCCAATTTGTATAGGTCCAATGGACTTTTGAGCTTGATTAAAGACATACGCAACGTAGTTTGAACTTTTATCGTCTTTTTCCCTGGAGTTGAAGAGTTCCAATACTTAAAGGAACTGTGTGCTACATTTTAATGTCTATTTATGCTGGTGTACACTTCTTCTAAAACAATTTTGGATAAATAAAACATCTAGATTATATGTTTAGTATTTTTTTTTTTTTTTTTGTATATTTTTCTTTGAATTATACATGAATTTTCATCAATTGATATCTTTTCAAAACCCCTGGTAATGCATGCTGATTTTTTGTCTACGAACATCTAATGGCACTATAATCTTAAATTAAGAATATCTTGAAAAATTATCAGTAGGTAAGGTACGTTGCGTATGTCCTTAATGTTCGTTTACGAATACAGCTTCGTAAAATAAGGTGTATCCGGACATAATTTTGGGGTAAACTTCGCAAAAACATATTATAAATTGTTCATTTTCAATGAAAAATGAAGAAAGACTGGTATAAATATGGGAGTTTTTTCCATCTCAGACAAAGGAAATGTATCAATATTGCCTACAGTCTCTCAGAAAACGGTTTTTGATATCATCTTGATCTCTACTTTAAAAGGATATTAAACGGAATAAGGGTATCGGGGTTACATTTGACATGATTTCAATTAAGTTGAATTCCATGAAAGTGCTTTACTTTTTACATAATTCTATTGAAGCCGTAAAGTACGGGAACAATTAAGTTAAAATCAATTATGACGTCATAATGAATCTAGCACCAAGAAGAAAGTCTAAACTCATTTACTACATCTTGACCTTAAAATACGAAAGTTTTTGCCTCATTTGGGCACCAATATAGTAGCATTATTGTTATGTCATAATTGCTTGTGACGTAACAGTAACCTTTAGCCACCGTGACGTCATTGCATTGTCTCTGTAAAAAACATTCTTCGCGATTTGCGCCACTGAATTTTGTTAGATAGTTTTTGAAGCATTAAATCATGGCTTTCTATGTATTCAACTGGACAAAAAGAGCGTATATCCTTGCAGTGTTGTCTTTGGTGTTGCTTGTCATAACGGCCAAGCACAAAGAGTACTTCTGTTGGTAAGTAAAACATACTTGGGGAAGCAAACTCATTCTGCATTTTAATTTGACTATATGATAACCAACAAATGTATACAATGTATTTTAATTAAAATTGTAGTATAAATACGTTTATTTATATCGGGTTCGGGGTTTGGTCTGTGGTCTATGTGATTACAGATCACCTATTTTTAGTGCCTTTCCTTTATCCGACACTGAAGAGTGCAGACGTATCTCCGTCCTGTCCGGTGTTTTCGGGTTTGAGGCCATCTTACCCTTGGTAAGAATAATTGTACAAATTATATAGAATTATACAACATTGGCGACGAGGATAAACTGGTTATATTTTTTTTTTCTGATCAAGTGAAATTTACATTGTTTACCGTAGTCACTGAGCGTTTGGCGCCAAATTCAAAACAAAACAAAATTCGATTTATTATTTTTCTTTACTGAATATTTGGTTTCACAATTTATTTCATTTTACAATCACTGGTTGTTTACACAACTAGTTTCCTTTTCCTTGGTGGTATTTTTTTTCCCCTTTGATAAATTACCGATTTCACAATGGCTCCAATCAACATGTAAACAGCTTCTGAATTTGAAATGTCAAAGATCCTAGATCATCGCACCATTACTGATATAATAGGGGTTAGGAAAAGATACGAGTTAAATGCAAATATCCTTGGTAAATATACAGATGTACCAGAAAAACAATGGAAAAAATGGGAAGAAAATCAAATAGTTTCCTTTGGGGGAGCTACTAGCTTACAGTCAGATTTGTACTATGATATGAGAGATCTTGATACTAGCATGAGAGAGTTGAATGTGAAATTAGAGAGACAGGAAGAGGAATTGCAAGCTGAGAGAGAGAGAAGAAAGAAAGCAGAGTTTGCATTAGAACAAGAAGCCCAACAGAGAAAATGGTTAAGTGCAATGCCAGCAGATAGCATATACACAAGAAAACCATCTGACAGAAAACAATCAGAAACAAAACAAAACAGAAAAAGCAAAATACATGATACAAAAGACACACATATTCACTCAAAATCAAATATGTTTGACAACACATATGATGAAAACACAAGAGGTAGGAAATATCATAGAAAAACAAGGTATCAATCCTCCTCCTCCTCCTCATCTTCACGGTCATCATCATCTTCCTCCTCCAGTAGTGACTCTGACTATGACAGACACCATCACCGACGCAGACACAGACAAAAAAGTCGCAGTCCAACGTCAAAATTACAAATATTTAGTGGTGACGGAAAAATCAGTTGGGATACATTCATCACACAATTTGAAAGGGTAGCTGACAGGCATGATTGGGGAAAAAAGAAGCGTACTGACAAATTGTTTAGTAGCTTAGATGGACAAGCTTTAGAATATGTCTGTAAGCTTAACCTAGACAGTTACAAAAAGATCAAGAAGGAAATGAGCAGGAGATTCAATACCAAAAAGAACCCTATCTCAGCTAGACGCAAGCTGCAGTACATGAAACAACATGAGGATGAATCACTCCAACAGTTTGCACAAAGAGTTCACTTCATCACCATTGATGGTTACAAAGAATCAGGCAAGAAAGCAGTCAACCAAATTTCAACAGAAAATTTCCTTAGAGGATGCAGAGATAAAGAAGCTGCTAGGACAGTTATGGAAAAGAATCCCAAAGACATCCATGAAGCTCTAGACCTTATGAGGACTTCAATTGCTAACCAGCAAGCTGTCTATGGTGCTAGCAAGTCCTATTATCACAGACAAGTTTCATTTGAACCATCAACAATGCAACAAACCAAAAAGTTAGAACAAATGGAAGACAAAATTTCAAAACTTACAGATATGGTCTTCAGTATTAAGCAAACATTAGATGACAAATTTTCCAATGGTGGGGTTCTAAGAAATGCACCAAGATTTCAATCTAGGTCAAGGTCAAACAGTCCCATAAATTATGGTCAACCCTTCAGATCCAACAGTCCATTCAAAAGCACTCAAAATTCAACAATACAGAACAAGTCAAATCAAACATTTAGCAACTCTAGATCTCCATCTCCCTTCAAGTTTAAATACAGAACACCAAGTCCATATAGGTCTACTCCAACAATATCACAATCCTCAGCTAACTCCCCAATTCCTTCAGAAAATTTAAACTCCAGGTAACCAGTCTAGCTGACCGTAGTCTGGTTAATGAAGAAAAAGGTCAGAATCTTCAAGTCAATGTCAATGAAAATTCAAAAGGTTTGACTCTGGAGATTCCTTTTGTTGTCCATGGCCATCAAACAACAGCAGTTGTTGACACAGCAGCTATGATGACCTTGGTCAATAAAGGTATTTTCCCGGGTGAAAACAATTCCACTCTAACATCACAAAACATTACACTCAAAGGTTTAGGTGGACATGAAATAACAGGGCAACTGTACAAAAATGTCTCGTGTCAGATAGGATCTCAATCATATTCTATTGATATGTGTGCAGTTGACATGAAAGATACAGTAATTTTGGGGTTAGACTTTTTAGAGGCCAACCATTGTGTCATTGACCTCAGGAAAAATGTTTTAGAAATTGGGAAGCAAACAATAACAGCAAATATAAAGAACATACAAGGTGAACAAATCAAGGTTGCAAGGGTAACTGTTCAAAGTAGATCTATCATACCAGCAAATTCAGTGGGGTTTGTAAATTGTTCTCTAAGTAGGCCCCTTGACACCAATTTCATAGTAGAACCCTTTAGTTCTCCAGAATTTTTGTGTTCTTCAGTTCTTGGTAAAGGTGAGACTCTGAAAGTGAAGGTTGTCAATGACTCAAACAAAACTGTGAAATTAAAAGCAGGTCAACACATTGGAAATGCAGAGTCAGTAGAAATTGTAACAAATGGAATAGATCTTCAACCTGTCATTAAAAGAACATCCATTGACAATAGCACACCCACAAATCTTGCACTACCTATTCATATTCAAGATCTCTTTGATAGGTCAAGTGTAGGATTAGATCAAGAGCAGGTCAAAAAGTTAGGTTGTTTGTTACAAGAATATTCAGACATATTTTCCACAGGGGAATTAGATCTAGGGTGTCTAAAAGGTGTAAAACACAGTATTGATACAGGAAATGCCCCTCCTGTAAAACAAAAGTTCAGAAGAACACCTCTAGGGTTTCAAGATAAAGAAAAAGAGCACTTACAGAAATTATTAGATGCAGGAGTCATTACCCCATCTTCTTCTGAGTGGGCATCTGCTCCAGTTTTAATCAAGAAAAAAGATGGTAGTGTCAGATATTGCATAGATTTTAGAGATCTAAATGCTAGGACTGTTAAAGATTGCTATCCACTACCCCTTATTTCTGACTGTATGGATGTTCTGTATGGCACCAAATTCTTTAGTACTTTGGATTTAGCCATGGGCTATTATCAAATTGAAATTGAGGAAAATAGCAAACAGAAAACAGCTTTTTTGACTAAATATGGCCTCTTTGAACACCAAAGAATGGCTTTCGGGTTGTGTAATGCCCCCGCAACCTTTCAAAGGGCAATGGGACTAGTCTTGAGAGGTATGACTTGGGAAGAACTTTTAGTTTACCTAGATGACATCATAGTCTTAGGCAAAAATTTCTCTGAATCATTAGAAAACCTCAGAAAAGCATTTGAAAGATTTAGACAATACAACCTAAAATTAAAACCAACTAAATGCACTCTATTCAGACAAGAAGTAGAACTTTTGGGTAGAATAATCAATTCTGAAGGTGTACACATTTCCCCAGATAAAATTAAAACTATTAGTGAGTGGCCCATCCCTCAAGACAAAACCCAACTCCAGGCTTTCTTAGGGTTTGTTAATTACCACAGAGACCACATAAAGAATTTTGCAAAATTAGCAATACCCTTATATGACTTACTTCAAAAGAATGCTAAATTCAACTGGACCCAAGATCACCAGAATGCTATGAATGACTTGAAAACTGCTTTGACCAGTCCAGAATGTCTCAAATTCCCAACTCCAGATGGTACATTTTTACTGGACACCGATGCCTCCCATCGTTCCATTGGGGCAGTCCTATACCAAATTAATGATGGTAAGGAAGAAGTCATCAGTTATGCCAGTCACACATTACTGAAAGAACAACGTAGATACTGTACCACAAGGAAAGAGTTACTTGCTGTGGTTAAGTTCTGTCGGCATTTCAGACATTACCTCATTGGTAGGCCATTTATCATCAGAACAGATCACAACAGTCTAACATGGTTGATGAGGTTCAAACACATTGAAGGTCAACTGGCTAGATGGCTGGAGGAATTATCTTCTTATGACTTCCAGATCAAACACAGATCAGGATCCTCTCATGTCAATGCTGATTCTTTGTCAAGGATTCCTGAAACGATTCCAGACTGTGACTACTATGATGCTGGAAAGTCGCCTAACAGTCTTCCTTGTGGTGGATGTCATTATTGTACTAGAGCTCACAATCAATGGTCAAGATTTCAACTGGATGTGGATGATGTGATTCCACTAAGTATTAAATCGGACAATCTCTCTTCACCAAAAATACTGTACACAACCTACCCACAAACACAGCAACAGCACATTCAGCCAACTCTTTGTAATTGGTCAGAAACAGTCACAGATCAAAATTTAGGTCAGCAACAAAAAGATGATGCAAACATAAGTCCCATTTTTCATTGGTTAGAAAAACATATAGAACCATCTGAATTTGAACTCAGACTAACCAGTCCTGAAACTAAGGATCTTTGGTTATGTAGAGATAGACTTTTCATTCAAAATGGTGTATTGTTCTATGAATGGGTGAAGTGTCCTGACAGAATGGTTTGTATTGTAGTCCCCACATCTTTGAGACAAAAGGTACTTTCCCTGTCTCATGATACAAAATCTGCAGGTCATTTAGGGATAGAAAAAACTTTAGCAACATTGAAATCTTCTGCATTTTGGCCCAATATGACAGCTGACTGTCACGATTATGTAAAATTCTGTTCTGTATGCAATACCAACAAAAAACCTACCAAAACTGCTAGGGCTTCTTTAAAAACATTTCATGCTGGTTATCCCATGGAAAGGGTTCATCTTGACATTCTTGGCCCTTTTCCCCCAAGCGAGGCTGGAAATATGTATATTTTGGTTATGGTAGATCAATTTTCAAAATGGATAGAAATAGTACCTATGCCAGATCAAAATGCAGAACAAATAGCAAAAATGTTTGTAGAACATTTCATTGTCAATTTTGGCTGTCCATTAGAAATATTTACAGACCAAGGTAGACAGTTTGAATCGAAATTGTTCAAATCACTATGTCAATCATTGGAAATAGCAAAGAAAAGAACTACTCCTTACCATCCTAGTTCTAATGGTCAAGTGGAAAGATATAACAGAACAATCGTTCAAATGATTCGCTGTTTCGTGGAAAATAAAAACAGAGATTGGGATAAACATCTTCCTCTATTAGGCATGGCCCTGAGAGCAACAGTTCACAAACAAACAGGGTTTACTCCCAATAGGTTAATGTTAGGTAGGGAAGTCATCCGCCCACTCCATCTCATGTCGGGTACACAGGATCAGATCCTAAAGCCTTGTGAACCTTCTGTTTGGGTTCAGGAGTTGGAGAAACATCTGTCTGAAGCCCATGAAATTTGCAGGTCTCACATAAAATCCTCACAACTCAGGCAAAAGAAAAATTATGATTTAAGAGTTTTTGAAAATAGTTTTCAAACTGGGGATATAGTTCTATTAGCTAATTCGGCAAGCAAAGTGGGTCAATCAAGAAAATTAAAATCTCCATGGAAAGGGCCTTACTTAGTGGTTGATACAAACCCCCCATTGTACAAAATTCAAGACAAAAAAGGGGAACATGTGGTACATCATGACAGAATAAAACTTTGTACTAGCCCAGTTCCATTCAGCCTCAGACAGATGAGAAATCAATTATTTTCTGAAGACGAGCAGGGTGATGTCACTGGTGAATCCACTGAAACCCAGGTTACTGATGTGTCTGTTGGGGAAACTAGTGGCATCACTACACCAGAGGTTTCTCCGGCTTTTGGACCTCCATCAGAGGTTTCTTCAGCTTTTGAACCCTATAAAACAGAAAATACATGTACTACAAGAACAAGAGGGGGGAAAATAGTCAAGGCCCCCAGATACTTGAAAGATTACTGTAAATAGATGATATTTGTGACTACACTTACTATTTTTATGCTTGATTAAATGTACATTTCAAAAAGCTCTTTTAAAACATCACTTGTAAATATTAATCTGATTGTTGAAAGAAGTTTACACTTCATCAACAATTTATCTTTGCATGGTGAGAAAGCTTACATTTTTTTTCTTTTAGTTTAATTGAAACTCACTTGGATATTATTTCTTTAGCAATCATCTACAATAAGGAAAATTCCTCTCGACAAATTACTCCTTGAATCTGATAGTCCGTATCTTTCTACTCGTGGCCCCTGATCTGTTTCCTCTGTAGCTAAACAAGCATCAAGATACCTCAACATTCTTGCACATATTCTCATTCTTATCTGCAATCAAAATGCCAAAAATTTCTATAAGATTTAACTGTGTATATATTGTTTTTTTATGCTGACATTTCATTTACATGTATGCACTCATTATGATGTTTACACATCTCGAGTGTAACTTGTAACATTATCATTCTTCATTTACCCATTTTTATCTTAAAAAAAAAAAAAAAAATTAAAATTACGAACTATTTTGGATGTTTACACATCTTTTCTGGTTCGTTAAAAAAAAACAACTAAATATGTGCATCTATTTAATTGTTTTTTAAATGTAAAAAATACTATACCTTGCCTTTCACTTCCACATGGCATGGTATGACAGGGATGACACATTGACATTTTGTATACGTTGTTACACTCTTCTGTCCTTTCTTCGCAGAAGAGTTACAAAAACTTTAGATTAAACAAGTTGTACCTAAAATGACTCATTTTATATGTAAATACTTTTCCTACATGAACGGGGGGGATGTAGTATAAATACGTTTATTTATATCGGGTTCGGGGTTTGGTCTGTGGTCTATGTGATTACAGATCACCTATTTTTAGTGCCTTTCCTTTATCCGACACTGAAGAGTGCAGACGTATCTCCGTCCTGTCCGGTGTTTTCGGGTTTGAGGCCATCTTACCCTTGGTAAGAATAATTGTACAAATTATATAGAATTATACAACAAAATTTTCGATGGGGATTTCCTTTGAATTCCAGTATATTTCATCGCATCCAATATAGTACAAATCTCTTTTCTGCTTAAACTTTCAGTAAGGCATGACATTCTCGGCGATACATAATTAGCGCTAGCGTCTCTCAAATGGTGATCTAGATTCTCATTGGTTAAGAAATTAATAACATTAGCAACTTTAGATTGTTGTTAACAAACGATGAGATGACATAGGCCACACCTCTTTACTGTAAGAAACGATGTAATTGGTTTCATTGCGTCACTCGGTGACTCTGACTCATTTTTATCCCATGTGTATTTCACCCGTGAATGAAAAGCTGTGTACATTTCAGTATTGATTAGCTAATCCGGCAACCAATGAGAATCTAGGTCACTATTTGAGAGACGCTTATTATGTATCGCCGAGAATGTCGATCACGCCTTACTGAAAGTTTAAGCAGAAAAGAGATTTGTACTAAAGCAATTTTTTCCTTACTTCCAAATTTAGTTTCTTATATAATTACATGTATATGTTACTTTGTATTACAATGAGTCGTTTTACTGACTAAGGAAAAATCACTGAGTAATTTTGAGAAGTTTGGGATTTGGCTAGGTTTTCTGGACAAACCAAAACCGTGTCCAGGAGATGAGGGCCTCTACAATGTGAGTATGGGGATTATAATAAAATTACGGCTTTTATAGCTTTAAATTATCATCACTCTATTAAGTCATATTTATATGCTTACCATATTGTTTATGAATAATAATGGTGAATATTGATTGTCTTGCAGACATTTGATAAGGCTTCGAATATTTTATTGTTTTTTTTTCTTAGGATGCCCATAAAAATCTGTATTTGCGATAGCTTATATCACCACTGCCCCACCAAACTTTGTGTCAGACCAGATAATAAAAACTTTCTCAGGTGCACTGCGATCAGAAACACCACAGTTCATTGAAGAGTAAATCATCCCAAGCTCTTCATAAATACTTACTTAGTTATAAAAGCACCGGGCGCCCTTTGCACATTCCTCTCCAAACTGTTTAGTGTCACTTCGATCAACAGAGAGTAATAATAATAATGGATCATGAGTTTGTATGATGTGTTGTCTAGATAAATTACTTAATGGTCAATACTCTTTTTACCCCCCCCCCTTTTTTTTAAATAGATGGCAGAAGAGATGGGCGTTTCTGCTGGAGCTGCCCTCGCTAGTACCGCCATACCGAAATTAAGGGGCTGGTCTACATACTTATATAGTTGCATAACCAAGGTCATAAAGGGAGGTTTGCAGTACCTGAAAGGTATATCATAAAGGATAAATGAAATGTTCATGTGTATTTTTAAATAGAGAAATATTGCGAGGGAATTTCAAGTCTATATACGACGATTTGTTTATGAAATTAATATTGAAATTACGACTATGTATTAAAACTAGCAGTTTATTTTAACTGAGTTTAACTTAAAGGATTTTTTTCAATCATAACATGACCTAGAGGCCAAAGTCTGATCCAGCAGGGAATTCTGGAGACTAGCACTTTAAAATACACATGTAGTTACAAGTATAATTTAACAAAAGAATAAAAATTGTTTAAGATATTTCGACTAATTGTACGTTATTTTTACCAGTAAATATTAGATATTAATGGGCTTAGAATAAATGATTGATAAATAGTGGAGGAAATATCTTTGTACGTGAAAAGGTCCAAATTTTCTTTTTCCGAAAGATCATATCTTATTGAAAGAATAATCAGACTCTTCAAATCTAAATTTCAAGATAAAAGTGTGCAACTCAAATGTTCTTTCATATTAAAGATCACCTTTTTGGTTCCAAAAATTCTGTCAAGGAATGGGTAGATGAACATATTTAGAGCCAGCATGGGAAATGATGCTAAGCCAAGAACCATACCAATCTCATCTGTCTCAAACCCAAGACCATCTGAAATTTACAAAAATCATTTCGAGATTAAACTACTAGGAAAAGGCGTTTTATAAACTTTGCCTCGTCCAGAAGTCATTTAAACTGTCCTTTAAATTCTTAAAAAGAGTCATATATTGAAAAAACGGCCAAGGATAAGCTACCATAATTTTTTTTGGTTGATGCCCATATCGTAAAAATTTCCTCATAGCCAATGGACGAGAAGGAAAAGGCTGTGTAAAGAAAAACTGCTTTTCTACAATCAGGCATACTAAAATAGAAAAAAAAGGCTCTTGAGCTTGACTATCGCATTTTACTGTACATGTAGTTTTTGTCCTGTAGTGAGATAGTAAAACTTATTCGATTAAATATAACACGGGACATTTCAAACTTAGAATACCAATTTATCATAGGCTATCTTTATCATTACTATTTCACATGAAGTCATTCTTTAAAAGTCAATTCACAAAACAATAAAAAATCAAAAACATATGAGACTATGGTAGGAGTAAAACAGTGTCTTACGCCGGTTGACCCCAGATTGACCCCGCAAAGGGAAATAACTTTTGTAATTGTGAATGTCGTCTATTAGATGGTCAGTCGGAGGAGGACCACAGTCAGGGCCAAAACCATAGAACTGAAGATCTCGGACCAAATGTTTCAAGCCAAGGAGACAGAGGGGATCAAACGACGGTCAGGAGTTACCCAAATTAAGTGGCCACAAATAGTGAGCAGTGAATGGGATATGTTTGACGAAGACATGGATAGACTTCTTGAAATGATAGTTATAGGACCAGCGAAGAAGAAATGGGAAAACATGGCAATAGTAATCTACATCAAAACAGGACAGATTTGGAGTCGAAGAGAAACAACAAGAGAGAAGTGTTGACCATTCAAGTAAAAGAAAGATGGAAATAACAAACATCCGGGGAACTTCGAACACTTGGAAAATAGATATAGGCGAAGTAGTAATGAAGAAAGAGAATGGCCTAGTCAACTCAGAAACGATCACAGGAAAAGACTAAATGAACTGAGAAATTCAGAGAAAATCAGATATAAGTCAAAGAAAAAAAAGGAATCCTTACAAGTTCGTGTCAAGTGTGCTTGAAGGGATAGGGAAGAGAAAATTATATACACTTAGAAATGAGTTTGAAGCATAAAAAAAACATTCGGATGGGACCGGAGATGAACCACATGGCGAAAAGGGAAGAATAGAGACTGTGCTACAACTCCAGAAACTTTTAGACATCAAAGAAAGAATTGCAACACTGAGAGAAATTAGAGAACTGATGAGGAAAGCAATGAAAGATCAGCTCCAGGACCAAATGGTGCGACAAAGTCTTCTTTTGAAGTGCCCAAAACTTCTCAACAATGAGAGCCATTCTGGCAAGTAGCAGATGGTTGCTTTGTACCAAAGAGGTGAGCTGGGCAGAGATCAAACAGTTCAGTACTATATCACTCCTCGAGACCTATCACGTAGCCTAGTGGAGGAGCGCTCGCTAATTCATCGGGAGGCCCAGATTCGATTCTCTTTCAAAACTAAGACGTAAACATAGGTAGTGACTGTTCTTTGCCAAGCGCCCTGCACTAGAAGTAAAAGTCACGGATCTTCCGGATGCGACCTTAAAAATCGAGGTCCTGTGTCACGGTAGGCGTGGGCACGAGAAAGAACTTTTGCTGCTCACTGGTCATGAGTGCCTAGTATAGATTTAAATTTGACGCCTTTCACCGGCACACGGTGACGACTCTGTAAAAGAGAAAAAAAATCTCAAATGGGACGTTAAACAACATACAATTAATCATATCACTCCTGGACATGGAAATGAAGATTTTCTTTGCAAAACTAGATGGATGACGTCACATATAATGGATACAGATACTGTAGATTCCTAAATAAACGAGATGAATTAATTATCGCGTAATTTCGCGAAAAGAACCACTTGCGAAATAAAATTACTCGCTTTTATTTTTATGTGATTAATCTCTTGATAGTGGCTGGGAGAAGAGAGATCAGAGGACCAAAGATCAAGGCATACATCAGGCAGCCATCAACAATCCCCATGACAATACACATGTAGGCGAGATTGGTATATAGAGGAAACAGTCAGATGGACCCAAAATCACATGGGCCCACCTGAAGTTCAAGCCTGCAAAATCGAGAAATCGAGATATCTGGTCGATAAGGAAGGTCAGAGAAATAGTACACGAAAATTCATGTTGAAAAAACAGATACCATCGGTTATTGACAATTTAATCAAAAGCCTAGGCAAATGGTACAAAAACACATTTAAGGATGTGAACGATAGCAGTCGTCTAGAACAAGAGACAACAGAGAAACTAGTTAACACCAACAAAACAAACTTGCCTGAGAAATTTAATGCGTAAATCTTCCAGCACAGACTCTTAACCAGACTGATTTTCCCACTCGTGCTTTATGACATCGCAAATCTAAAATGTACGAGGCATTGAGAGGAAAGTCAAACGATAACTCTGCCGATGATTGGGGTTACAATGACCTTTTCGGCAGTTAGATTTTACAGCAAAACTACCAAGCTGCGTTTACTTCTCACATCAATGATAGAGGAAAACGGGAAGGTTTGTCTCAAAATAACCCCTCAAGGACTTCAATGATCCAAAGTATACGAAGCTGGAACCTACGTACAGTCAGGACACAAGTGAAAGGCAAACGATGCAGTGTCAAAAGCATGCAGAATAAAAACTTCGTCATAAAGACATTGTGGGAACTATCTGTAAAGGGAGTCACGACGTAGGTACTCAATCAACAACAAGATGGACAGGAGCATCAGCGAGATACATAAGGAAACTAGTCAAACATGAAATACAACAAAGATACAACAACAGGAAGATAAGGAAAGATTTAACAAGGCAGTAAAGAAGCCAGGAGAATTGAACTAGATGGGAAACCGGACAGAGAGTGTTGACATGGAGTGATATGTGGAAGTAAACGTCTTTCCAACATCTATTCCCTCTCTCGAGCATAGCTATTGTTAACGGTGTACTGCCAAATCCAGCACATATATGTATTTGAGGAATGACCGAGGACCAAATGTGCCTACAATACCAGAAAATTTTCAAACTTGAGCACATATTGTCATCTTGCCATGTTGCCCTTACCCAGAGAGGGAATAGGTGTATGCATGACCAGGTCCTTAGAGCACTTGCCCCGACACCTTTGTTAGAGGTGAGGAGAATATAAAACGCAGACATAACACACTGAGTATGAGCAGAGATAGGAGCTTGAGACCTTGAGAAGAACTATTTCCCCACCAATAGTAGAAACTACCTAGCAATCAGACATCTTACTAATATCTGGAAGTAAGAAAAATCTAGTGGTGATTGAGTACCATGGGGGACTTGATGTCAGGAGGTCCACGAACGCAAACATGCAAAGTTTGACGATCAGAGCTGGTTATGACTTCGAAGAAAAGACAGTAGCTGTAAGCCTGACAGTCGGGGGTAGAAGACTGATCATTTTCTGCTGTTTCTCCATCCCCGAGGAGGGTCTGAGTTAGGATGAAACATCTGGATGGTCTGGATGGATGGTCCGTGCTGATGATATGACGGTCTATCAGAAAAGACACCAAAGATGTATTAACTAAATACATATTTACACGTCGGACATCAGGAAACATTGGCATACTTTATATAAGCTGTCCAATTTAAAAAAGAAAACTATTGCAAAAAGCTTGACATAAAATAGAGAATTAACATTAAAAAGTATTGTCAACAAAACAGCTATAGAAAAGTGTGACGACTGGTATTAGTTGAAAACCTTAATATTTCAAATAGACTTGTTCTCTTGACTTTATTGAAGATGCACTTAGATGTCTTCTTATCAATCCGTAATGCTTCTACAGTATCGTTTTCTTCTGTTAGCGTTTTCACCGTCTTGTTCATGATGAAGTCATGTGACCTGTGTAGATCTTGGCAGGACTGGTAGAGTCTGATCTCGTATATTGTTCTATCAGTGTAGCAGTGGAGGTCCTCCATAGATAATGATATCTTTCTATCATTCTCGTGTGTCTGCTTCTGTTGTGTCTTGTGCACCAACTTCTGTAATTCTTTATTTTGTTCCTCAACTTCAACATCTAATTCTCTTTGTCTGAAATGAAAAAAAAAATCTGTATGTTTAAAAAAAACCGTGTGTTTGTACAGTGTATTTTGATTCTCCTAGAGACTATGAAATACCATGGTTCTCACTTTGTGCTCTTTGTCTCGGGTAGAACTAAGAAGTCAACAACGATAACCACAAAACAGGCACATGCAACGATTAGACTAGGCAGAAGGTATGGAAACTGGTCAAACATGCCATCCTTTTGGAACATGGAGGGGTATCTAAAGGCTGGGTTGGATAAAATTCCTGCAAACATGAACACTTAGAAAGGATACAAGTATTTTCTACATTGAATAATATTATGTAAAGCAGACTACGAATTTATGCTGAGTCATCAAGTATTTAGAGGGTAAATTTTGATGTATGAAAGTCATTTACATTTGCATATGTTTATTGAGCCCATACCCCCAACAGCCGGTCCAAGTATGATCCCTGCTCCCCATGACATGGCCACGATGGACAGTCCGGTGGCTTGATTAGAGTCATCAGAAATCTCGTATAAAATTGCCTTGGCAATGCTTGCGGTACCTTATCAAAGATTGTTTTCCAAGAGAATTATAAAATAAAGACTTTATATTTAAGATTGTACGATAAATATCAATAGGAAAAATAATTCATAACTACTTAAAGTACTATAGAACATTAATACAGGGTTTCATGAAAATTAATTCCTGTATCAGGGTAAAGCCCCCTGTAAAAACTCAAAACTTGTTTCCGACAAAACATTGCTTAGGCCATTCTTATTTATTTCTGTTTATTAATTCGACTTAATACATGTAGTTCTAAAAAATCAACTGGTAAAAAGAAATATCATTGGCCAAACCAGCAAAAAACCTGATGATAAGTGCCATAGGTAAATTAGTTGTAAATCCAAACAGCAAGCAGAAAAAGCCATTTCCAAATATGGTCATGAGTATAACTGGCTTCCGGCCAATTCTGTCGGATAACCAACCCCAGAAAAAGCTGATGTAAAAAGGAATGAAGAATGGTTTAATTTCGTAAAAGAAGAAAAGAAAATACATCGTTGATCTATATATGCACAATCTAGAGTATTCAACTATTCAAACCCAAAGCAAACATACATCAAAAAAGCAAATCCTCAGAAAATCTGTTTATACAATATGCATATACTTAATCAATTTAATTTTATTGTAGATTATAATCAAGTGTCATCTTGTGGATTAGAATGCCTCTACCTCCCTGTTGCTCTGCCAGCAAACACCACGGAAGCCACCATTCCAGCATAGTAGCCCTTTTCTGTCTCTTGGTAACCAAAGAACTACAGGAAGATGGTTCACATATATATTTAAAATCCTTTTTTAAAATGGTTGAAAATCGCACTGAAGACCATGTTACTTACCAAAATCATTTCTGGCAGAAAAGGAAACAGAAATGTAAGACTGAGTGTACCAGTGAACTGGAAAGATAAATCAGAAATAGGTACTTATTATTGTATATGTGTATTATTTTAAATTTTTAACGAATATTTCACTGTATTATCATTATTTTATTCAGTCTATAGTAATACATCATCTCCGTTATTTAAGATTAAAAGGTTTCTAAGTGCAATATAGCATCTTTGATGGTCACAAAGATTGTCAATTTACCATTGATATGAAGACTAGGCCTATGATTTTCCAATCCACAGGTGTTGCATCTTTCGGAGTTATTTTAATTCTATTTTTTGCTCTCTGCCATAATGATGAAGATTTTCTCCTAAGACTTTGTCCTGCACAAGCAGACAACTCCATATCGTTATTATCTATTTTTCCCGTTGAAATCCCTTTCACCACAATGACTGTTTGTTTACAACTGTCCTGTTCCTTTATTACGGCCATTTATCACATATGTCTCTATGAATTACAAAACAAAGACAAATAGCTTGTGTTTTCTTTTAAGCAAAATTAGGATTTATATGAAAATGACACAACTCAAAGTCGTATTTATTTTTGGTTCAACTGAATGAAATATGAAGATAATGAACAGTAATCAAGCTAAAAAGTCCATTCGAACCATACAAATTGGAGCAGAGCTTACACAGACTTCTAAAATAATCCGAGATGAGATGAGGTACCATGGAGGAGTAAGCATCCCCCGTCGACCGGTCACACCCGTCGTATTCTCCTTGTCATGATCGGGCAAACGGAAAAATTTGTTGACAATTCAGTGTGAATTTAATGGCCTAACAATCTCTATGAAAAACTTCAGTCAATATTCGACTTAACGATAGATTGTATTTGCTAATAAGGTCATTCTATAAGAGAAATGTTGACGTTAAACGGGACTTTGATATCCCTCTATCATCAACTTATTTATCAGTAGCTTGATTTGTTTTAGAAATTGTTCGTACGTAGAGCAAGCTTTTGCGTATCGAATCAATTGGGAGACGTAAACTCCATATACAGATGATAATGATATATTTCTACATAAATAAGGGACGTTATTGAAGTCATCACGTTTATCAAGTTTTGTTGTTAGGTTGTCATTAATGTCATTTTAGTATAAATATCTAAACATGAAATAGAATATTGTTAATTGATAAAACGATATATCTAAATGTCGAATTGAAGGCCACAGCAAGAGACGTTTTCTTTTCAAGCAGAAATTTTTTGAATAAGTTCTGCTTCAGATGAATTCAAAATAGGTCTGCTAAGAATGGGGCGCAATTATACCCATGAGAATTCCAACAAATTGTTGGAAGACTTCATCTACAAAATTACATAGATACTGTCCATCAGAAACTCAAGCAATATCAACTTCGAGTACTTGTGTGTACGATCAGAATGTTTTTAAAGGAAATGATTTTGCAAATAACCAATGGCAGGGTATATAATTTTACGAGTTCCATTTTAATTGAAAAAGCAGCTGTCTGTGATATCAAAAAACCTCGACTTTAGTTCATCGTGGGGAATGGTTGTATAAAGTGTTGAAAAGTCGTAAATTTTGATATCAGTTAAATCATTTGTCAGTTTTTTCATACTTTTTGTCGTGTATTTTTTTTTTTCAATTTTAGAATATTGGTTAGCTACCCTATCTTCCTCGCTTTATGACAAAATAATGATTGATAAAACCTCCAAATCAAACCGAGTGAAAAAAAAAGTTTTTGCAAATTTTAATTGTGACAATTCTATATTTTGCTACCTTATTCACTTGCCAAGTATAAAAGGAATTAAACAGGTTATACACAACATCACATGATTTTTCAAGGTTATTTTCAGTTTAATATGATAATTGAAACTGCTGTCGAAAATCATTTGATACTATCGTCCTCATATTTTGACATAGTACCAGAGTATTTTTCCTGTCGATAGGGAGATTCTGAAGTATATCTCTCCGGACGGTGATATACTTTTGGCCTTCTTGTCTGAACGGAACAAATATTCTGGATTGCTACCATCAAAATTCATGGGATTTTCGTAATTAAAATTGAAGTAAACTGCTACAGACAAAACCTACGACTGTGAAACGATTTCAACCCTTTGAACACTGTGATGTAAGTAAGGAGAACCCTTTGTCGCCAGGAGGTTGAAAGGAGGGATTAAAAAGGTATTTATATTTTTCTGTTAAAATGACTGTAGAACATAAATTATGATATCTGGATCATTTGATGTCAAAACATTTTTCCATGGCAGGTTTTGGTTTCATAATTACATTATTTTTACGAGAGCATTTCTACAGTTGTATAATCTTGTTGAGTCCGTCTAGTTCAGATACAGATAATAAACTACATGTCAATCGTCTTGTTGATGCTTGTATATTAATTTCAAGTGTCAACTATTTCGGCCAAATTGTCTAATAAATAGAATAATAATTTTGATTTTGAAAAAGACAAAAGGATCACTCAACTGTCGCAGGGATTGAAAAGAAACATCTTGTAGATCTTTTTTGAATATGTCCTTCATAATTTTTTATTTGTCTGGAATTGCCTTACTAATTATCATTGTATTCAATTTATCTAGATTTCCGTTTATCTCATTAAGAGTTTCAAAGCCACTGCAGAGCTGAGAATATATTCAATTAGTTTTCCCGCTCTAGATTCTTAGAGCTGTTCTGTGAAGATTTATTAAGGTGGTTTTTTGTCCCAATTAGAACAGAGAGCTCTTTAGGCAACTTCTTAATTTTATTTTTTTAATGCAGATGGCTATTAAGGACGTACTGATGATACAAGAAAAAAATGGATGCTTGGACTGCTACATATTTTTGCACCTATTTTGATTGTAAATGATGCGAATAATAAATTTCTAAAATATTAAGAAACTGTAAACTTTCTATGATGTTCGAAATTCTACCATTCTGCAACAATCCTTACTAATGTATACAACTTTTTGTCACTTTAAATCCCATTATTGTGAAACTTTGAATAAAAAATTAAAATTATGCGGTTAAATTTATTCATTTTACTTATATAAACATGAATTAAGTTGTTATTTTCAAGATTTTTGATAAAAGTTTGTTTGTATCATCTGTCCTTGAAGACATTTTAAAAGGATACAAGAAGCCCATGGTTCACACCACTCAACTGAATTGGTAAGTGAATACGTAATGTAATCAATTTTAGCTTATTCTGACTTTAAGTCAAGTCCTTCATGTCAACAAGTGTGATATTCAGTAAATTGACTGAGGCTTGATAAAAAAGTTTTCAAATTATAGTCCTGTTAATTGTTTTCAGAAAGTCATTTTAAAATCTGTAAAAAAAAAAAAAAAAAAAAAAAAAAAAAAATTGTACCTTATTAATTGTAGCTTTCATGAATTCAGGGATTGTGACTTCTACGAATCTGATTCTTAAAGACATAAGAAAGTTTCCAGATAAATGTGAATGATTGATAATTAAAGAAAGTCATTTGAAGGAGCTCTTAATAAACCTCTTCACACGCTTCTAGATAAGGACCTTATTGTGACTTAATACTTACCCCAGCTGGCTCCGTGATTTGAACAACTTGATTCGACACTACATGAGTATGATTGGATATTATGGTTGGGTGATTATTTATTGCCATACTTTGCTTATGAAACAAAGGTTTCTTTGATTTTTCTTACATACTCAAGTGTAGAGCGTGGGCCCTATTATGATCCTATCTCAGGCTTAGGAGTCAAAATTAAAAATAAGAGATTTAATAAGATTTGAATCGATAGTATACGTGAGTTAATTCGACATGCTTTGGGTATGCTGTTCTGTAGAAGACAAGTTTTAAATATTTTCTTGATATATTTCTTTTTCAAAGTATGAACCCCTACTGTGGCCACAACCCCTGGCATTTGGATTTAAATTAACTTGAAGATATATAATATGACTAATTCTGACCTTGCTAGCGCTATTCTTGAGAAGATTTTTCTAATTATTCCTATTTCAAAATTTTATCCCCTAATGTGGTTCAACTTCTGCTCCGGGGTCCTTCGCTCTATAAGAAAGCTGTCATTCAAGTTTTATTTTTTTCTGTTCCAGTAGTTATTAGAAAAATAAGCAAATTCAAAGAACTGTGGTCCCTTGCTTTTGGTGTCTAAGATGCAATATAAATGTCCTATCTTCTCTCATTCAAAAGTTATCAGAAATGTTAAAAATTTTAGAAAATTAGGTCAAACTTCAAGGCCAAAGGGTTAAAAATCATAGTACATTTGGAAAGATCTTGTCACAGGTAATGCTCATGTCAAATATGATTGCCCTATCTTCTCTCCTACAATAGTTATCAGCAATATTAAAATTTAGAAGATTAAGTCAAACATCAAGGTCACGGGGTCAAGTAACACAGCACATTCGAAAAGGTCTTGTCACAGATAACGCACATGTCAAATATGAATGCCCTATCTTCTCTCATTCAAAAGTTATTACCAATGTGAACATTTTTAAAATGTAGGTCAAACTTCAAGGTCACGGGGCTAATAACATAGCACATTTGGAAAGGTCTTGACACAGGTAATGCAAATATGAATGCGCCATATCTTCTCTCATTCAAAAGTTGTTACAAATGTGATTTTTAAAAAAAAAAAAATTAGCTCAAACTTCAAGATCAAGGTCACTCAAAAGTCATAGTATGTGTCACAGGTAATGTATTTTTTAAAAATATAAATGCTGTTTCATCTCTCGTTCAAAAGCTATAACCAATGTTCAATTTTTTTAAAAAGTAGGTCAAATTTCAAGGTCATGGGTTAAAAATCATGGTACATGTAAACAGGTCTTGTCACAGGCACATGAAAGCCCCTCTCTTCTCAATCAACCAAGGAAAAAGTTGTATAAATTTTTTGAAAAGTAGGTCAAACTTCAAGGTCAAGATCATGGGGTCAAAAATCATAGTATATTTGGAAATGTCTTGTCAAAGGTAACGTACATGTGAAATATGAAAGCCCTATCTTTTCTCATTCAAAAGTTATGATCAAGGTTAAAGTTTTTTGTTGACAGGCAGACGTACAAATGGGTTTTAATGTCCCCTCACTTTTGCGAAAGCGAGGGACAAAAATTATACGACTATTTCCTATTTTTATCGTCTAACAAATTATCTCCCGTGGAAAGAGACATGATCTCTCTGTCTAATAATTATCTGTGCCTAGTTTGAGTCAAATTGACTTAGTGGTTCTTAAGATGAATGAAAAGTTGGACAGACAGACGACTACAAACATTGAGAAGAAAATCTCAGTTGAACCTTTTATTATAATGATAATTAATGATAATCAGAATAAAATGTGTTGATTATGAAGAGTTTCGTTCACTGCATATATGTAATTGGACATTTCAACCCTTAAAACACGATTTCTACATGACAGTCTTTTTTAAATTCATACTTTTCTCGTGTATACATTATGTACATATATATCATAAATTCTTTTAGTCACAAAAGTAATTTTA